TATATATATATATATATATTTCAAAAAGTATGACGATCATATAATTAATTTTATCACATATCATATGTTGGATATTATTAATTTGGTTGGGGACACTCATTATACTCAAATAAATAATATATGATTTTTCATATTTGGTATTTCTTTTCTTACAATAATGTATTGTTAAACATAAATAACTATGTTTAATATAAAGTCTTAGAAAAAGTTTTAATTAAAAAGCCCGACCGTGCATCACACGGAATACACACTAGTTATCTATAATAACTCAAACACTAGATTTAAGGGGATTAATGTATAAGATAATTACACACATCCCACTAAAATAGTACTTTAGAGTTTTTTCACTCCAACCATATCTAATAGTATACGGAGGGAGTATAACTTTTCAGGCCCAATATATTTCACTAGAGCTACAATACATTCTTAAAATAACCAAAAATAATAATAATAATAAAAAAAAAAAAACAAGTTGGACAAGCGATTAGAAATGTTATCATATAAGTAAACGAGGGTGTACTCGTCAATGCTTATATCAATTACCAACACTTATATTTCGCACATAAAAATCGTAATTTAACTTACTAAATACACGTTGATAGAATTCTTGCCAAAAAAAAAAGTAAGAGTAAAATATTAAAATTGTAATATATATCTCTAAAACAATATAATGTAAAACTAACACCTGTGATATATGATTAAAAATAAAATAGTTGTTGCTTTTGTAGTATGTTGTGTGGAACTTTGTTTGCTGTAATATTTTGATAAAACAATATATTCCCATCAATTTTATGAAAGCAGTCTTGATATACGAATAAAAAAATAACAATAAATTAACTCGTTAAATCTTTTTTTTTAATGAATTGTATTTGTATAATTATAGACCACTAAAGAAATTAAAATGATGAAAAAATTTATGTACATATGTTTCATTTGTCTCTTTAAAATCTTGACAAAATAAAATAAATTGTACAACTAAAAATAAATAAAATTAAGCATACTTTGTATTTTTGGGTCGACTCTAAACAAAAAACAATATGTTAGCTTTTTCTTTCTTTTTCTTTCCTATTTCGAACTCAATCTTTTATATTTATTTTTCCTATTTTGAAAGCATAGTTCTAGGCTAATTTATTTTATATTCTAGGATTTGCTAGTACTCGGATTGATTTATGATTTTATTTTTATTTATTTCATTCCAGTTTATCTTTCGTTTATGATTTTTTTTTTGCGTATATTTATTGTGTGAGTAGATGACCACTATGAATGCATATTTTTGATCGACTTGACACCGATATGAGATAATTGATTGCTAGAATTTGGAAATTTATAACGTAGGAGACTAAACAGACCGAGAGGTTGATAAAATATTGCGATAGAACGAAAATTTTAGGAACTTATGGGAGTTATTTGTTCATCTTGAGACCGCGAGAAGATAGATAACAATTAATATCTACGATTTGCTTGTTCGAGAGAAAGGTTGAAATCAATTTAGCGATTATCTCTACGATTGGTAAAATTAAATAAAGTTTGCATGAATATAAACGTTTCATGAAAGCATTAACGCTTAGCTTAGAATCTATCGTTTGTATCTTGTTTTATTTTTATTTCTTAGATAAATTAGTTTTTAGTTTAATTTTTTAGTTCATAATCATCGTCCAATTCATTAGTCTAGATAATATTTAACCGTTATTATTTTAGTACTTAATTAATTTAACTACAATTTATGTGGAATACGACCTTGCTCGCCACTACCTATAGCTACGCCGTAGACTTGCGGATAGCGAAAATAATTAGCGAACATACATCATAATCTTTATTATTATTATTATTATTATTATTATTATTATTATTATTATTATTATTATTATTTTCTATTTTACAAGTTTATACGTTTTTTAAAATTTTTATAAAACTAACGATTGGTCACTACCTAGATCATGGTAGACCGGTCGAAAAGAGCTCTGATATTTTCCTGAACCGCCGCGTGCAGACCTACAAAAACTCAACGACCTCAATTTCGGCAAGAGCCTATAATCATGGTCGGGTCATCGGGCTTGAAAACATGGAATCACTGAATTGCTGGTTTCAAGTTGACCCGGTTCATTTAAAATACAATTAAAAAATAGAAAAATAAAAAAAGCCAAATCGCTGGGCCGATGGTTCAAAAATTACAATCTTGTGGACCAAAAATGACCCGGTCAAATCATGGGCTAGGTTCAAGGCCCATTGACCACGGGTCAGTTCAGGGTCGACCTTTTGCTATGACTAAAAGTCTTCGATCCTTAAGTCAACAAAAGGAAGAATGTTATGATGCTCAATAATCTCACCCCTTGTTTGTTTTGAATGATGGGATTGGACTATTTTAATGCCAAGGTAAGGTATTGCACTATTGGGATAAATATAGTGATGTGTTTGTTATGTGTGATATGTGTTGGGAGAACTTTTTGATATTGTTTAAAAAAAAATCATTTAATTAAAATAAAAATTGTTTTTATGTGTAAAGTACCCTTTTATAGGGGTAAGGATGTAATCGGTGGAGTTATGAAGGGCAAAGTAGTCCAAAAATAAAAATATGAGGGCACATTTGTCATTTTTCTACCAGGATAAATCTAATTCCACCAAAAAGTAAGGATGGATTAATCCCAATTTCATAGGACTATCTGCTTTTTCATCCCGGGCCTTCAATTAATACCGGGCTTCAATCCTGCGTATCAAACGTGGGATTAGTTAGGGATAAGCCAGGATATCATGTCTTATCCCACCAAACAAACAAGTATATAATGCATATAGAATGTAAGTTAGAGTTTGATGATACCTACTGCCGAAATGCTCTGCCCTACTACCCGTGGACAACCTGCCCGGCTGTCCGATCTTAGTGCTTATCCATATCTTAATCACCTCATAGTCACCTTTAGATTTCATCTTATCCTCTTAAGAGTCCTTCTTATCATTGTCTCATACTAGTTTATGTCGTGATCTCTTCACATGTCGTCTATCATATTTTCTGGTAGTCGAGGTCGAATTATGTTAGGTCCTTGGTTGCTCACGCCATCTGACAAATTCAGATAGGGACCCTTAGATCGCCTAAGGATTATGTTTTTTCATAGCCTAAGGTCGTTAACCTATAGGTCGTTCAAGAATGAGTTTGTCCAACTGCCATAGCTTGGCAATCTTCGACTTCTAACAACTAGTTTTCCGCTCCGTCGAGCTCCACATACTTAGAATATTTTTGGTTTACATATATGGCTATATCTTTTCGTCTACGGTCCACATGACTATGTCAATTGAGATACTCAAAATAATCATACATAAGCTATTCCTAAACAAGTCATAAATAAAAGACGATGTAATGTAGGAAACAAAAATCAACCACGAATCAACCATTTTTAAACTTGTAAAAATTTGAATAAAAAGTATATAAAAATTCTATAAATATGTAAATAAAATGAGATTTAAAGTAAACGGTATAGGTTATTTATTTATTTTTTTGGTTGTTGTTTGCGTTTCATTTTTCATTTTCTTATGTATGATGAAAACACTGGGCCAGCTCGTTAATTAAGTTCATTTTCTTGTAGAACCCAAATTGTGCCCATATGAACCCAATATGCACGACACGAACCAGCCCTAAACAGAGTCTAAAAATAAACCTCGCAAAGGAAAAAAGAAAAAAAACGAAGGCCGAAGAACACGAAAAACTGGAGAAGCACTGAACGTCTCCTCCAACGGAAGCTGGTTGATTGTCCTCACATCCATCTCCGATCGGAGACCTCGCAGTCACCTGGTATTCCGACACGGAGAGCTCAGTCTCACGCTAAAAAGCTCCGAAAGGGTAAGTTCCCACTTCATAACCGCCTGACCCAGGCACTTGCTGAATCGATATATTTATGTCTGTTCGACTACAGTCGAAATTTAGTAATTCGTTCTTCAGCTGTAACCATTTGATTCATGAGTGTGAAGTAGTTAATCATCTTGTTTACACACACACACACACACACATCAATTTCTGTAAATATATGTCGACACAATGTCCTGTTTGATTTGGTTTTTATGGCGGTTGCAGGAGCAAATGGCAAGGGCTCATGCAACCATACAATTCACTAAACAGCCGTATATTGAAGATGTCGGCCCTCGTAAAATGTAAGTATCCTGTTACTTGTATTATAACTAATCTGTAAACCTCCTAAAAGGCTCTAAGGTGGAGAGCTAGTTGCATACGGTTGCATCTGGTATGAATTTATTTTATGCGATGATACGCTTTTCATTTGTTCTATTACTCCACATATTCCCAGTGAAAGCATTCAATTTTCGACATTTTCTGGGACTGATGTACTAAAAGCCGGCGAGGTCGAAGTCTACCGTGGCGTTTATTATGACCCTACTAAAAAACCAATTCAAAATGGGTTGTTAGACCCTCACATGGTACGCATCTTCCTTTGTATTGTTAAAGCTGCTATTGTAGCTGAAAAAGTAACTCCTATGTTGAAATCAGCATGAGTCCCAACACATGGTTCCAACCAACATTGCACCATTTTGTATACTATGCTGTTATGATATGTATGTTTTATTGTACTTCTCTGCTCAAACTGTCAGGTTCAGAAGTTGCAACATTTGAGAAAGTAGTCACCAAAATGTCATATTTCCTCTCTCTCAACGAGACATTAATTATATCTATCGAGTCACCGAAGGATTTTTTTTTTTCTGCAGAAGCTAGAAAAAGTTTCCTATTATTCTTTACAATAATGTAGATGGAAAAGCATATTTGAAGATTGTCGTTGTGAGGATTCAACAGTCTATTGTTGCAATTTCTTTCATTTTTCTCCTTTTTGTTTATTTTATTTTATTTTATTTTATTCCTAGTAAAAAGGGTGGTGGGCTTGTTTGCAAATGCAGCATATATAACTTTTTTAGGATATTTAATTGTTCTTTTTTCTTGTTTTAAATTTTGTAATGGTATACCATAATGCATGTCATCTTTTTTGTGTTTCCCTTCTTTTATAGGGGCCACCAAATAAATTTGGCTCCTGCGAAACTTGCTATGGCAATTTTCGGGAATGCCCAGGGCATTGTGGATATTTGCCTCTTGCTCTCCCGGTGTACAACGTTGGATATTTGGCCACCATAATAGATATAATGAAGTGCATTTGCAAGGTAATAAAATTGGTTAACCCTTCTTATTATTGCTGTTTAATGGGAAAAATTCGCCATCTTCTTATCTGTAAATAATCTAAAGTAACAGTGAATTTCTGTCGTGCATTATTTAAAATTTTGCATGGCCGTGTATTGAGCTTTACTCACTGAATAATGGTAATTGTTTTTCACATGAATTCTACCAAAGCATGAAGGATACTCTTCTTAATCCTACGGAAGATTAATGATTTGGTTTGGCGTTTAAAGTGCTTTTTTTGTTGTTTGTGGACATTTGATGTGGTAGAAGCTCATTAACATGTAAAGTGACCTCATTAGTTCTTTCATCATCGTATCACGTGATACTCTTTGTTCATGAAAATAAGGAAATTAGAGCTGCATTTTGTCCCATGGTAGCATTGCTGAGAATTCCTCATTTATCTTCTATTTTGCACGTACAGAAATGTTCCAGAGTGCTTCTTGAGGAGAACTTACGCCAAGATTATCTCCGGAAGATGAGAAATTCAAAACTTGATCATCTGAAGAAGTATGCGATATTCAAAGAAGTTGTGAAGAAGTGTAATGATATGACAAATAGTAGAAGATTAGCAGTGTGCTTCCGATGTGGATATAAAAACGGTTAGGCTTCTTAACTATATGGGAAAATATTTAACTCACTGAACCTACTCTTTTACTTTCTTTCGTCTTCTTCTTCTTAGAAAGACCAGGGGACCGTCCTCTAGCTCTGGCTCTGCATGTCTCATAGGGGTTGAATTATGTGGAAAAAATATAACTTAAAGCTTTCATTGATATTTCCAGATTGTGAGGCTTGTTCTCAAGACATATCTAGTTCTATTTAAAATGTATCATCACTTTATGGAAAAGGAGTAGGAAGAAAATATGATCATGAATGTAATGATTTTAACCACTGGATGATGACTTGGAATGTGAGTGGACTGTCGAGTATCAATATTCAGATGAGTTAATTGTGTGAGGTGAGATGCTTAAGTGTGTGTTTGTTTAAGGAATTTTCAAGAGCTTGAGTCCATACATGCCTAAAAGCCTTAGTCTAGTGAGTGAAGCGATAAATAGAAACTGCCCAGCAAACTCCCTTTGAGCTAGCTTTTGGAGATGAGTTCTATTTGGGCCCATTTATTATGGTATCAGAGCACACAAGTTTGTTTATTTGGAAGCTAATTTGGGTTTGGATCCGATCCATTTGGAATGCACGCGTGACAAGGGGGTGTTTGAAGTTATTTTTTGTTCCACATCGATTAGTTATTGAATGATATTGTGTATAATCTTGGTTTGGACCCCTTTTCCCTTTGAGCTAGCTTATGGGGATGAGTTCTACCTAGGACCATTTATCACTCTGATTGCCGCTAACTTCTGATGATCATTTGATGCCCTAAGATACTTTAATCCTATTTCCTATAAAAGTACATTCTAGAAACAAAAGCCTGTCCCACCAATGCGATTTAACCTTAAATAACTGACAATAAACAACTTAATTAAACTGGGAAAAAGATGATTAGAGGTCATAGTATTAAATGTAAAAATTATGTTGGGGCGATTGTTCCTTCCGCATGCTCATGTGTATATTTGGTAAAACAATACAATTGTTAACTACAGTGAAGCATAGGTTAGGCTGCTTCGTGGGGTAAGAGGGACTAATGAGGTCATGCACTTGTTGGTCATTCATTGGTAATTGGAGGCTTGTTCGATGATATGTCAGCTCAGACTTTGTTTGATGTAATGTGAGAAGCATCTTCACTATTTTCAATTTTAAAATGCACAAATGAAATAAGTAAATATTAAAGAAAAACTGTAAAGAAATCCTCTTTCTTCTGGACTGGGGAATGTTTTCTGAAAATAATCATCAAATGTATACTTCACAGTTCATAGATGATGTAAACACATATCTGACTTTTCAACTATAGTTGGGATTTGTGAGGCAACTCCATGGTGCTTTCACAATAAGATTACCTTGTAGTATTGAAAACATGCTGTATTCCTCTAGTCCATATAAATTTCAGGATACTTTGCTCCTTTTAGAAATCTTATCTTAGTTGTATTCATGTGTATCTCAGTTTTCTTCAACCTATGGATGAAGTCTCAAACAATTATTTGTTTCAGGCAAGGTAAAGAGGGGACCTTTAAAAATTCTGCATGATCGTGGGAAATTGGATGGCCAGTACCTGGATGAATGCCAGTCTGCTATTTCCCACACAAAGGAGTCCAAACGACAAGTTTCTGTTTCTTCTTTTATTGACCCTAAAACTGCCTATCAGCTACTGAGAAATATGTTGGATGAGGTACTCATCTCTGTCTTATTATTTACATTTAAAATAATTTTTTCAAAAGCCTGTTCTGGTCTGTATACAGTACAAGTTCTTTTTCTTTCCCATTACATTCTGGTTAGGTTATCTTTATTCATTGATTTTGATCTTCATTTATGTTCTTGTTTTCCTTTTATTTTTCTTTGTTACAGGATTGTGAGTTGCTTTATCTGAATGATAGGCCAGAGAAGCTTATGGTCACAAATATTCTCGTGCCACCAATTGCCATACGCCCTTCAGTTTTTGTAGAAGGTGGAATGCAAAGGTATTTGTTACGCCTGACTGTGCACCATCTTCCCTATGCGTGTAACAGAGATTGCTATTACTTTTAGGTTGATATATGTTTACTTGGTATCTAATGTCGAAACAACTGTTATAAATGTTGAAAACAACATGAGATTAGAGTTATGGAGCATATGATGGTTGTGCACTGATGAGCGTGAGAATAGTAACTTTGTTCTACTGGTATCATTAACTTGTAACCTCCATTACTTTTTTATATGAGATGACAGTTAATACCTAGAATAGCAGCTCTTATTAACAATGTGCTGAAGTCTTGACATTTTGATGTTGTTAATAATCAAGCAAGTGAAAGAAACTTAAGCTACTGGTTGTAGCTCAGGAAAAGAATCACAACAACCAACAAAGTGCGGAACTGCAGATTAAACAACTTGAATACTGAAATACCCGAGACTTTTTCTACTCCTGTAGTCACTATTTCAGAACGTGATGATCAGTGTTAGTAGTTGATTTGAGGAACATGGAGTATTGGCTAGGTGGTATTCCAAATAAATACTGGGAATATTAAGAAAACGCTGGTCTCTTTCTTGCTGCTACTTTAGCTGTTTTTTGGGCAATATTCATCCAAATGATGTTAGACTATTTAAGAGATAACTAAGCATTTTTTTAATGCTTTATTTTATTTCATTTGAGTCTGAACCAAGTGATGATAATTGATCATTGAAGATTGGAAAGGATTTACGTAAGTTTCCTTGGTCATGGCCAACTGCCAAGAAAGCCTATTCATAGCTTGTTATCTTGTGTATTCTACTCTTGAGATTGCTTTAACTTTTTACATTTTTTACTATCTTTTTCATTTTGTTTCAAAACATTAAAGTTATGTTGTGGCTGTTGCAGCAATGAGAATGACATTACAGAGAGGCTAAAACGAATTATCCAATCAAATACCAGTCTTCGCCAAGAAATGCTGGAAACTAACCTTTATAGCAAGAGCCTGGTAATAATTTTTACTTCACTTTGTCTAAGCAAAACAAATTTGTTCTGCAGTGGTTATTGTCCTTGTATTTATGTTTCTTATTTTAGAGAGAAATAAACCGATTGTATTCCATATATCCAAGGTACAACATACAATGATAAATACAAGTCTAGGAGTGAACTAAAGAAGGAAAACATATCGGGCCTAATCTGCAAGATTAAAACATATTACTAATTAATATCCTAATCTATACCATATATACATTAACACCCCCCTCGAGTTGGAGCATATATATGAATAATGCCCGGCTTGTTGCAAATGTTGTTTATCCGTACGGACCGTACCCCGTTTACTCTAGTGATTATGTCTCTGAACTGGTATTATGATTAATGTATCCTGGCAAAATGATCCTTTTTCTTCATTATCACGAACAAAATGGCTATCTACCTTGATATGTTTTCTTCGTTCATGATATACGAGATTCAGTGCAATGTGGAGCACTTCTTGGTTGCCACACCAAAGTTACGCTAGTGTTACGCTGGAGGATTCAGCTCTAACCTTATCTCTTTTAGTAATTGATTTATCTTGATGATCTCACAAACCAAATCAGCCAGCCTTAGCAACTAAACGAGAAACAAAATTTTGTTTCTTGTTTCTCCATGGGACTGGATTACCTTCCACTAGAATCTCTTGAAGTTGACCTCCTATCATCTTTGCAACCGGGCTAGTTAGCATCGATATATGCTTCAATTAACCTAGTGGAGCATTTGCTATGTTGCACATAAAACAATCCATGTCTTGGAGCTCCCTTTTGATAACACAAAATTTGCTCAAGAGCCCAATAACAATTGGTTGGTCAACCAATTATAAAAGCAGGATGTGTTACGGTGAGATAATCCAACTTCGCCACAGGTCTTCAGTGCCACTTGTAAGAAACGGGGGGAAAACGGGTGCGGTCTCTCTAACATGAAGCGCACCATAAGCGGGGAAAGCCTATATGAAGCCGGGTTCCATCCCAAAATCAATTGGTGGAAGGAGGAGTAGTCCATTACACTTATAAGGTGGGTTTATTTTCCATGTATGAACGATGTGGAACAACTCACAAGTGATATTCTAACATGTCCCCTCACTTGTGAGTTCTTAATAAGAAGCCCAAGTCGATATACAGAGCTGGGTGCCCTCACTTGTGAGTTCTTAATAAGAAGTCCAAGCCGATATACAGAATTGGGTGCCCCAAGCCCTACTAGAAACAGGCTCCCATAAACGGGTACGTGGGGAAAACCGGTACGTCATTGCACGATCCCACATAGAACGGGCTCTGATACCATGTAAGAAATGGGGGAAAAACGGGTGCGGTCCCACTAACATGAAGCGCACAAAGTGGGGAAGCCCAAATGAAGCCAAAGTGAGGTTTCATCCCAAAACCAATTGGTAGTAGCAAGTGCTCGAAGGCCTCTGTACTAGATCCCAAATGAAGCCCAAGTGAGGTTCCATCCCAAAACCAATTGGTAGTAAGAGGAGTTGCCCACTAGGCTTATAAGTTAAGCCTATTTTCTCTGTATAGACGATGTGAGACAACTCACAAGTGAATATTCTGACACCCCCTCACTTGTGAGTTCTTCGGAAGCCCAAGCCCAACTGGGCTGGGTGACGGGTACGGCATTGCACGGTCCCACATAGTCTCAAGCCCAACTGGGCTGGGTGAACCGACTTTGATACCATGTAAGAAACGGGGGAAAATGGTGCGGTCCCACTAACAGCGGTCCCACGGATGAAGCGCACCAAATCAGGGAAGCCCATATGAAGCCCAAATGGAGTTCCATCCCAAAACCAATTGGTGGAAGGAGGAGTAGCCCATTAAACTTATAAGGTGGGTCTACTTTCCATGTATGAACGATGTGAGACAAATCGGAAGTCAACGGATTGCTGCATTAATAAGCACCTGTTTTTTTAGTTTCTTTAACAAGTTCAAGCACCCATTTCCAATGGCCAAGGAAAATTCCTTTCTTGCGTCTCATTATCTCCACTCCTAGAAACTATTTCAAGGACCCCAATTTTTTTGTACGAAAATGTGCATAAAGAAATGACTTCAACCTTAAGTTCCATCACTGTCATCTCTTGTGATTACTATATTATCAACATACACAACTAATAAAATGTTCCTATGAGTATTGCGTCGATAGAATAAAAATGATCAGATTTGCATCTCATTAAACTATATGGCTCGATATAATTGACCTGATCATTCCGAGACCAGCTTAACCAACCGGCACCTCCCCTGACGAGCCTGTTACAGTTTAGCAGTAATTCCTCGTCTACGCCAAAAATATAACGGAGTCCTCCAGTGGAACATTTGTCTAGACAAACTCCTCTTTGTTGGTCCTGAGGATGCCAACTCGGTAAGAGATTCATTCTATGCGATTCTAGAATAGGGACAACGCAAACCTTTTAAAGGTTGTAAGGTCAAGTATCTTCAAACCTCTTCTTTCTCTTTTTATTTCACGGGGAAGGCATCAGGGAGCTCTTCCAAGAACCTTCAAATGATTTGACCAAATCAATCAAACCAAGCCCGAGGACTTTGTCTTAACTTTCAATTCAAATCCGTGTAAGGATTAACGAAGCCAGTATACCTTCCAGCAAGAGAGCCATTAAAAACAGCATTTTTAATATTAAGTTGGTGAAGAGGCCAATTAGAGATATGAGCTACTAAATATGAGCAGTAGCATGACAGGATTAAGTTTCACCATGTGGGAGAAAGTTTCAATAATTAATGCCTTAGGCTTAGGCATATCATTTAGCTACTAAATGAGCCTTAAACAATCCAAAGGGCTATCCAAATTTGCTTTATCGTAAAAACCCACTTATGTCTGCGTATCAACAGGTAAATCGACTAAAGTGTACGTACCAATCAAGAGGATCCATTTCCTCAATCATAGCACGCCAACTAGAATGGGCCAAATCTTCCCCAACAGTTTTAGGAATAGAGATGGAATCTATTATTGCAAACACACTTGAAGGGATAGACAAATGATCATAGGAAACATCAGACGTAGTTGGATATGTACATGAATGTTAACCATGCAACAACCCCAACAGCTATAATACCATGATAAATAGACCTGGTAAAACTTATCCTCAAAAGCTAGCTCAAAGGGAGAGGGTGCCCAACCCACACCACATCCAATAGCTAATTGATGTGGAACAAACATATTTTCTAACACCAGCCCTCATTTGCAGCTTGCCAATGGGCCGGTCCAAACCCAATTTCGCCTCCTAACATCCTAACATATAATCCTGGGTACTCTGCCATGTAGTGAGAAATAACTGATTATATATATAGATAGATAGATAGATAGGTAGAAGTCTAGATGCAAACTAAAGGAGGGAAACTATCAACCGTACGATATTATATTATATTTCTAATTGATATCCTAATCTATACCATATATACATTAACAATTATGCATGTATTATGTTAAATACTATTCTTCATACAGCAGACACAAGTGAATATTGATACATTCCATTTGTTTCTGTCATTTGAGCACCTGGTTTTTTAAATACTGCTTCAGGACCACAGTCAGCAAATGCTTTGACAATAAATAGGTTGGTTTATCTATGAACTGAATGTACTACTGCTAATGTTTTGTGTGGGTGCAGTTTTCCAGGTAACTGAATTGTATTAGTGTTGATATGCTTTCTGAATAATCATTCCCTGTAGAACTGACCTATTTAATCTATCACGCTTCTAATTTTCTCTGAATTAGCCGCCTCAAGTATATTTCTTCTGATCATACTCTGAAAAAGTGTTAACGTAATATGGGCGTAGGCTAGCTGGGATGATTTGCAAATAGAGGTTGCACAATACATCAACAGTGATGTCCGTGGATTGCCGTTCAGCATGAGTGATGCCAGGCCATTGAGTGGTTTTGTTCAGCGCCTGAAAGGGAAGCAGGGAAGATTCCGTGGCAATTTATCGGGGAAGCGTGTTGAGTATACTGGACGCACCGTTATTTCTCCGGACCCAAATTTGAAGATTAATCAGGTAAGGCTATCTACTTGGTCAACGTCAAACTGCTTTATCTATTTATGTAGTTATCTATTTGGTTCCTGACAGGTTGCAGTTCCTATGCATATGGCTCTAATCTTAACTTATCCGGAGCGCGTTTCTCATCATAATATAGAGAAATTGAGGCAATGTATTCGTAATGGCCCCGATAAGTATCCTGGTGCAAAGTTTCTAAGGCACCCTGATGGTACTGAGACGTGAGTGTTGAATAATCATCAAAACTATATGTTTGCTAGTTTTGTTGTGGGCTTAACCTTTGATTCCTTGATTTTTTTATTTTTTTTTCATTTATTTATGGCAGGTCATTAAAAGTCCATCATATCAGAAAGCGTGTCGCAGATGAGTTGAAGTATGGTTACATTGTGGATCGTCATCTTGAAGATGGTGATATTATTTTATTTAACAGACAACCAAGTTTACATCGAATGTCAATAATGTGCCATCAGGTACCTACTGCATATGAAACGTGTGATAGAACAAAGATGGTACCATTTGCACCACCTTATATAGTTTATTGCAGGCAAGGATAATGCCATGGCGCACCTTGAGATTCAATGAATCAGTTTGCAACCCATACAATGCCGATTTTGACGGTGATGAGATGAATATGCATGTACCACAAACAGAAGAGGCCCGTACTGAGGCCCTTATGTTAATGGGGGTAAATTTTATTGACTTCTATTATTTGCCTTTGCCGTTCTGCTGCTCTGCATCACTCACGATCACGAGTTTGACACTTAGATTGTATTTGGGATTTTTGACTGAAACATTCTATCTTCTCTACCATACTATCAACCTTATTTTACGTCATTCTTTGATGTGAAAAGCTACATATACTGTCATGTCAACTTCTACTGATGTCTACTTCCAATTATTAGTGTATTATTATCCATTGTTAAACCATATTGAGTAAGATATAGTGATGTCATTAATCTTTTTATTAGCTATCTTTACCTTATTAATCAGTTTGGATCACGTAGAGCCTAAATGTGTTTCCTCTTGACATTTCTATTGAGTAGCTAAACACGTTCTGGCTTGAAAACTTTAGATAGAAGACTGTTCTATGAGCGCAGAGGATTATGGTAGCAAATCTTACTAGGTTTAATTGGTGGCCAATCCCAAGTAATTATTGGGAAATGAATAGTTTTATTATAAATGGCTAATATAGATAAAATAAGAGAATGATTTCCTGTTGTTTCTTGAACCTATTGTTTTTGGACGATTGGATAGAGGTCTTAGCAGGAGCCCTTGAAAGGTTAGCTTGATGCAGATGAATTCCTGGTACAAATAAAATTTATTATGGCAGGGAGCCCGTATAGAATTTTGGTGTCTTAAGCATTTCAGATGAGGTAGTTGTCTTAAGTGATTAACATAGCACATATTCACTACCCTCCAGAAATTTTGTTCAGACTATTGCTACTATATTGAATAAAGTTAATTATCTTGGAAGTTTCCTAATATGTTCTTTAACATATGGACAGTTATATTCGATAAGATTTTTGATTGTCAAATTGTACGTCTACTCGTGGATGAAAAATTGGACTCGACAACTATTTGTATAATTTTTGCATTCTGTGTTTCACTTGATCCACTTTTGATTGTTGTGACATTGTTGCAGGTGCAAAACAATTTATGCACCCCAAAAAATGGAGAAATCTTAGTTGCTTCAACACAGGATTTTCTAACGTCGTCCTTTTTAATAACAAGGAAAGACACGTTCTATGATCGCTCTTCCTTTTCACTAATGTGTTCATATATGGGTGATGCGATGGATCCAGTTGATTTGCCAACTCCAGCATTAATTAAGGTGAGTTTATGGAGCACACTTCCACTGCTCTAAGCGTTATTTATGTTTCTCTTCTAGTAATTTAGAAATTGTTTTCACTTTTGTGTCTTTTAATCTATATTATACTTCTCTGTGCTTTTTTATCTTGTCATTGATCCCTACTTACTATTATTAATTAAGGCTTGCGGTTCACCATCATCCATTTTTATCAATGGATACCACATTTCCTTATGTGTGGTGGTATGTAATATGGCTGTGCTTGTGCACCTCACTTGTCTTCATTACACTTGATTTATTGATGATATATTGATCTCCCATTTTGTTCTTTTTTGGCGCTATACTTCTTGATGTCCCACAAGACAAGGTTTTCCTTTTGTTTGATTTGTGCCTTTTCTTTTTGCTGCAAAGATATAGTTTAGTTCCTCACAAGATCTTGGGTGTTAGGATCCTAACTTAGGCATGGACAAGAAAAAACATGTGTAGTTTTCCTACCATTTGGTATCACTCTGTGCTTTACGGGGAATGCATAAGGTTACACCTGTTACTGTAGATCATTCGAATGTTGTCTCAGAAAGTGAAATTGTAGTTCATGTACTATTGTTCTTTACGAGTTTTTTTCCCCATATTGCCAAAGGTACCTCCACATAGTGACTGCTTATTAAGTTTTGGATTGGTGGTGGCATGATGGAGGTGCCAGATGTAAATGATTAATACCTTATTTTTCACTGAAAACATCTGTCTGGACTAGGGTGCTGCTTCAGTTTCTCTTTATATTTTGTGAAAGTGAGTGTAAGCTTTCAGGAACTATAAATGGAAGTTAAAGAATATAAAATACAACATCCCCTAGCTACTTTGGTGCTGCATGTAAATGTGAGCCTTCCCTTAGATGATTGTTTATGGTTGCACAATCTTATTGATGAAACATGGAATCCAGCGTCCTTTTTTTCTTGTGTTCGTAAGCGTTCACTCGTTGCAGATGTCTTTCAGTTAATGTGCCATTTCGTCTGGTTGTAAAAGATGTCATCGGTAGCCTATCATGTACTTTTCAGTGCTGTTT